GCCACTGGCCTAACCCGCATGGGCTACTTCGGCACATGCGGCTAAAGTACTTTAGTCGTAATTGGTGTGCATGTTGGACGATCGTGGCGGTGGCAAGTGAGGAACAACTCAGCCAGAGGCCTTATGCTGGCTTCACAAACGTCGAGTCGCAGAGTTATGTTTCAGTAAAATCTTCTATTCACTTGAACGTGCCCATCTCTCACCATTGGAAGTTGTCACTGTGACGGAATCACGCATTCAATAACATCTAAGCAATATTCACATAACTTTCATCGACTAATCTAAAGGTTATGGTCATGAGGAACTCGTGCATTGGTCTGGCATCAATGTTTTGATTTCGGTTTACCCTTATGGTGCCATTGTAAATGTATGAGGTTTTCACATGGTTCATCATTAACAATACTTATAAATATCATTGCCAACGATGTCATGAAAGCATCGTTTTCTACTATGCGTGGTAATGAATATTCCATGTGAAGTGAACGTTAATATCACTTAAAATGGAATAAACATTGGTAACATTCCAACAAAATAATAGATTTGAATGTTATCAAAACAACATGTCACATTTTCAGAGTGCGTAGCTGTTGTTATACCTAAAGTGACAGGAAGTGAAGAAACATTGATCAGATCTCTTATCATATGGCTATTAAAAGAACCATTTGTTTCTTAGCATAGCCTTGGATTTTTCTATGCTTCTAAAATGTTATTGAGATAGTGCACGAAATACCCAGAGAAAGGACTGAAGGATTAGGTGTGATTTCTCTACAGAGAGCATTGACTAGCTTTATACCTAGGAGTAGCTAGCTTGCTTTTTAGGTTGTTTGTTAACAAACCAAGAAGATCATGCATATTTACTAGTTGTAAAAAAAGATGATTCTCGTGGTTAACTGTCTCGCATCATGTCTTGATGGGGCTTTCCCGTAATGTTTGATATTTACTTCTTGAAAAAGGTGAACTTTCGTCGAAAGTGAATGTTATAGCTCAAACTTTTGTTGGAGGAATTGGAAGTTCAGCGCGACGACCTTCCATTATACATTCAGTAAGTCCTTGAGACTCCTGAACCTTCCAGTCATCCAGTTATAGACGGGAAAAAATATATTAAGAGCCACTTTACCTGCTAAATAGGATGGAACTGATGTAACTGGCAAATACATGTCAAAATGATTACTGGTTCGTCCCCAGGGTACAAGAGTTCCTGTAGATCGAAAAGTATTGAATCAAAGTTTGATTCAATACTGATCTTGAGCTTGCTTAAATCTTTTCCCAGTTCAAATCTGTAAATGGTCAGATTGTTTGAACCTTGATAAGTTAGGTCGTTCTCTAAAAAGAGGTGAAAACGTTTGAGCAGATTTTAAATTGCAGTCAAAGAAAATGAATCCTTTGTTTGTAAAGATCTGACTGAGAGTCGGCGCAAAGCTAACATTCGGTTTCGTCTGCAGTCACAATTGAAAAAATTTGGTTGCCATCAAGATCTCAACTGGTTCATGCGCCTGCCAACATCTGACCTGGATGGTCATCACAGTGACGGCTGAAATCCTGAAAAGCTGACAAAAGAGGCTGCAACCTTTTATTTAACCTTCTAGCGGCTCATGAGTTCATCTTGGGACCTTGGAAATCAATCTGGAGGGGATGAAGTTTTGAGACTTGTGTCATATTCATCCACATAAATCCTCTGTTCAAAGAGTAAGGTTCTAATGCCTCGGAATGCAAGTAAAAGGCGTTACAGAAGAGAGACAGACAGACGGAGAGAACAATGAAGGTACAAGTGTAACGTGATCGACAATCAGATATATTGCAGGTCGAAATGCACAATACATTAGCACGTGCTTGAATCCCTTCGAGTAGATTGGAGTCTTATCTTTGTTAAATCAGTCAGCTCCAATAAGTTGATCTTTTCGTCTCTTGATTTATACACTGTAAGACCACTAGGTTTCCAAGACAACGGCCTGATAATTCCGGCTTTGATTGATTGGACATGGGGGTGGCTGCATCACGATGAGTGCTTTAGTGTAAAAGGCGAAGTCTTTATGGAAAGGAATAAGTACAGAGCGAAGAAATGAAGACTTAAGCTAAGTGTAAAAACGTAAAGCTTTATGGCAATGTACACAAACATCTATTACTTGGAGGAGCCCACAAAAGCAGCTAGGCCTGCTCATGATGTTGAGAAATCTGCCCTGAGGAGCATCGATCAGGTGATTCGAGTCATAGCAGCTAGCTCTGTATTGATGCTGAGTCAAAATGAAATATAAATGGAAAAATTGATGATGAAAGACATTACAAAGGTATCCTCGTGCTTCTACCAGATTCACCTTGGACATGAATTGGAGCCTCCAGTAATGTTCTCAAATGCTGGAAGTGGGCGGAATATGAAAGTGATAAGATAGCCTTTCTGAGTGACAATTTCAGATCAATGTACTGTTACAGATTGTAGTACGTACTTCAAGAGGTCGAGCGGGAAGACAAACCTTATACGTGAAGAAACTTGGTCTCGTTGAAACTCAACGTGGGATCTGTAATTTGTTGAACTATGTCTTCTCAATGCTATGACCATTAAGTCCCTGCTTCGAGCTTAAACACACGATTATCAAAAGGCAGCTTTCCTTTTCGACTACACTTCACAAACTGTGCTGATGCTCGTGCGGGCCGTAATCATTCATGTCATTCATGTAGCAAACGTCAGCAACAATGACTTAGCAAATATAATCATTACAAAAGTTTCAGTTTCTACGTTTTCTAGCAGTTCGATCTTCATACGGAATGAAATGTGCAGAAATTTAGTCTCGATTCGACTTAAATTCCTGGCAGAGTTAGCAATAAAAGATACGTAGGTTGATTTTACGCCACGGCCGAGACGAAGCACTGGGCAGTAAGTCGACTTGAGGACAACTGCTGCGATTTGATCTCCATCGATAGCTTCTGTTTAGTCTTTTCTCTACCGAGGCACTATCTCGAACAACTTCAAGTCTACCTCAGTTGTCATTGCCACATCCCCGCCCCGCTTTGTTCTCTAAAGACAATTTGGAAATGACTGCTGCAGTAGCTGACGTAAGAGATACTTCAAAGGGCCTGCCCAAAAGGACGCAAGGAATATTTTGTCCGGGTGTCACTTCACTGGACACATCTTCGTAAAATCTCCTTCGGATGTGACAAACAGTGCGACTACTGTAGAATATGTTAGGACCGTATATCCCATTTTTATGTTTACAGTGGCATAGCCACATATTAACCCTTTGATTTCATCCATGTACCACTTAAGTTTTACCCTTTTTTCTTATCTATACTACTATATGATACGATAGTCATCATCGTTTGCCTTTATCTTCATTAACACGATCATCATTGTGAAGAATCTTCCCTGAATCTTCCTCAGCCCTAGAGACCACATTCGTCACCGCTTTGTCGTGAGACTCTGGCGCTGCCTACAGGGTTTACGTGCAGCTAGGCTAAATTCTAGATGCTCAAGAGCTGGCCACCACCTCGAACGACCAATTAAAGAATAAAATTCGAAAGCTATTGAAACTATGAAGCATCAACATTGTTTATTTGTGTAGGGATCTGTGTAAAAATAGGAGCCTGAAGGCGAATATATCAGACTCCGAACCCATGCGGTCCTAACTAGCCCCTGCTGTACAGTATATGCAGGAACCAGGGAGCGTCACGAGGCCCGTAGGGCAGTTGACTATTCTGTGTGTCGCATAAACCTACCGAGGAGTGCAGATTTAGTTGCTTTAGCCAAAACTAATCTTCTTTCAGCTATCAGCTTGTCTATTACGATTTTTTCATACACAGGAATATCCCCGTTAGCTGTATATTATTAGTGCAACTCCCTAACGTTATGATTTCATGCAGAAAAGGTCAAGTTTAGAGAGAAACTACTTGGAGGCCAATATGGTAAAAAACAATTTGCCAGCTTGTAAGAAATAACTAATATAATATAAAACATTTTACACTAGTAGCCCGAAGTACTCACTCAGTGTATGGAAGCAACAACATACATAAAATAAAAACCCCTTACAAAACCTACGAGTAAATATACGAAAAAAGATATCTTCAAAATTTGATGTAGGATGAAATCACAAGTATAAATTTTGAAGGAGAGGTTAAGACCTTAATAATTCATTCTACGACGTCTGATGCATCGTCTTTGTTTTTTTAATAACCCTCGCATTTATATGTGGACAACATATATATTGAATACTGAAAATAAAGTTGTTCATATAGATAGATAGATGGGATTAGGTTTTATATTGAAGCTGTGGTTGACATATCTTATCTTGGAGAAGCTTCAATTGTCCAGACTTTTTGTAAAGTGTATGTAGTTGGTACTTTGTGTTCATGGTATTTGTATGATGTGGTTTTTCAAGCCTTGTTCCAATGATTTTAAAAAATACATTGTATTACATCATATGCTGTAAACAGCGGTGTAGATAATGCACGTAACGAATTCTTTAAAAATAGCTTGGTCTGAATTTGAACAGGGATCGAATGTAATGTTTGGACAAAATCACCTGGATTCATATGGAGCCAAAATCATCCAGGAGCAAAATAGAAGACAATCAGGACTGTCGACGTCAAAATCTCTATTTCGGGGGAAATTAATCACAGAAGGAAATAAACCTGAGCACCAGAAGGTTTACCCGAACGCAGGCCGGATCTCCGCCAGCACGGCTACATAAACATTCGAAGTCCAAACTAGAGTTTCTCAACTGGAGGAGACCTCGGTTGCCGGCTGCTGTCCGGACCTCGGGCCCGTCGTGCTCTCGGAGATCGCGGAAGTCATCGATTCCCGGCATGGGTAGCCCGGGAATACGACACGTTGTGCACTTTCGGTAATTCTGGGCCGGGCTGTCCCTTCTGCCTGTGAAGGACTTGTGGACTGTGAGGGGCTGACTCCCCAAGTCCCGAGGGACGAATCTGCCTCAAGCCCTGTCCATACCCGTGGCTGGCATCCGAACCGACCGTCAAGGCGGAATGAACGTTCATGACAGCGGTCCCTTATAAAGCAGTTTCGATTGCAGTTGGAAAATTTACGTTCGTAGTCTAGAAATCGAACAAAGTATGATCTCGCGTGTTGAGTGACATTTCTGACGTAATCTGACGAAAGGGACGATGGGACAGAGAGCTTCCTTCCCAAATTGGATCTGAGTGATAACGCTGCAAGGGTTAGGGTGGGGAGTATTGGGACTCGACTGGCTTCTGCAGGAGGGCGCTCGTCAACCGCATGATGACGTTTCCTCACATTTTTCACAGATCGAAGAAGGATCACAAGCACGAGCACTTCAACCCCTTTTCTTCGCACCACGCAAGTTCCGAGTCTTCCGAGGGAGGGTCTTCCCATGGGTCGGATCGATCTTCGCACTCTTCGCACCACAACCCCTTTTCTTTGTTCCACGCAAAGTCCGAGTCTTCCGAGAGAGGGTCTTCCCATGGGTCGGATCGATCTTCGCACTCTTCACACCACAACCCCTTTTCTTTGTTCCACGCAAAGTCCGTGTCTTCCGAGGGAGGGTCTTCCCATGCGTCGAATCGATCTTCGCACTCTTCGCGCTCTTCGGAGTCGAGTTTACGTTCAGGCGAATCTACACACCGAACCGGGACGAAGTCCAGAGTCCCAGTGCAGGCAGTGATCGAGACTGAGGAGGCGGGCATCCATGAAGCCTTCAGTATTATCGACAAAGACAACGACGGGAAGATCTCTAAGCAGGAGTTGGGAGAAATGTGGAAAGGAATGGGCGAGGAGCTCTCGGATCAGGAGCTGAGCATTATGGTACACGACGCTGACGCCGATGGCGACGGCTCGATCGACATAGATGAATTCGTTACCCTCCAGAAAACCATGGGAGTTGAGGATCCGAAGGGACATTCCAAAGACATCAAATTGGCTTTCGACCTCGCCGACGTCGATAGGAGTGGTTATATTTCTGCCATAGAGTTGCGGAGTGTGATGAAGACACTGGGCCAGAAAAGGATCACGATCGAGGAATGTAGGGAGATGACCAAGCTCGTAGACAGCGATTGCGACGGGAAGATCAGTTTTGAGGAGTTCGAGAAATTGATGAAATCCAGCGCTTTTCAGCATGAACGTCTAATGTGATCGATGAGAGTCCCGGCAACCGGCAAAAATGCTTCGGTGGCGAGCCATGTTCGTCTGATTGTGGCAATGGAGATTTCATTTACTTCGATTTCAGCTCTGAACGAGCCCAATTTTGTTCCGTCCCATCCCCACGACATTGTCGAGCCAACAACAATGGGGGCAAAGAGTTGCAATGAAGATTGTCAATTTACGAAGATCCTGATGTTTTCATAGCATCTTCGTATCGCATGCGGCCACTTCAGCGCCGATCGACTATGCTGATCTCGAGAAAAGTTCAGAATGGACGTTGGCGAACCTTGATGTTTCATAAGTCACGCGGTCTCGACTGAGTAACAGGCGTGGACAACACCAGCATCCAGACTCGACACCACGGTTTGCAGGCATGTCGTCCCTCGAGATTGCTCTTGTACAAGTATCGTATCCATAGATTTTTCCTCAGCTTGTGATAATTCCACTATAAAGTCCAAATATTCATTGTGGTGATAGCATACTGATCGACTTCGTATATTGTAGACAGTGAAAAGTTCGTCTGTACATTGTAAGTATCTACTGTAAGTGTAAGGAACGTGATAGAGTTGAGGAGAGCTGAGAGAAACTAATAATTGGACATGGTATGGGAGGAGTAGCCGACGTGTCGAAGAAGCAAGGAGACGAATCACATGTCAGCATGGAGAGGAACTGCCGCTCCCGTGTGGACTACACGGCCATGCCGCCTTCCTTTAGTATACTTGACGAAATTTCAATGTACACTTATACAGAAAATATAATATTCAGTTGTTAAATTTTAGAACGTAGTATCAGTTCATCTCTGAAGATCGAATGAAATTAAGATTCCAGTACCCCTATCTCTCTCTTCCTCTCTCTCTATAGTCGAAGGAATCCGGATGAGCTGTCTGTGGAATGGATCTCTGTATATGTTGAACCCGAATATTTTGAACTTTTTATGAAGCAAAAGGGGCAGCTTTTGTTGTAACTCTTTTCTGGACTGTGTTCTCTGCCGTCGGTTGGCTATCCTTCGTTAAGCACCCCTTTCGATTGTTCAATAATGTAATAAATAATTGCGGACTAATCGGAAACCGAGGATACACATGTTTTTTAAAATGAAACCCTGTAGCTAAAAAAACGTAGAACCATAAGTTCCATCGAAAATAGTGAAAGGGTACTCTATATATTCGATTCCTTGAAACCCAGTATAGACTAGAGCCAGGAATATGGTAGCTATTAAAGCGTAAACTGCTTTTTGCTTTAAACCTGCGAGTGTAGCATGACAAGCCCAAGTTACCAGCTCGAGTTTACTCCTTGATGTGACTCATCATACTCTTTCAAGTCCGTGCATGTATTTTTGTTTTCGGATCAGATGCAATCAAATCGTAGGTACTATGCATCAAAATCCATTATCATTCTCAATACAATAGTCTGGGAAATGATATTTAAGAGATAACATGATGACTAGGATATATAGAGAATATTTCCATGTACTATTACTTTTTCCAAATGATTTTTTCTCATTCAGCTTATAGTTTACATTTTTCTTTTATATTAAAATTTTCTTCCTGAAAAAGTTGTACTTTTTGACCCTTTAGTGATCAATACTGATTATTTTTTTTTACCTAATATAGATGCTAGTTATTCTGAAAATATCAAACTAATTTTTAAATCATCAACTTTTGATAATTTCTCTTTTTCATGATATCTATTTTCTAATCTACAACACTATTTCCAAGTTGATTCAATCTAGTTAATGGAACAACCAATATTATAGACTTGTCTCAATTTAAACTTTGCATAACATAAAAAATAATAATCTTAATGGACAAGAAATCATAAGAATAACACACCGATGTAGGTGGTTCAAATTCACAACAAAAATAAAAACTTTACTAAAGTGAGATCGTTACATCAAGTTTTCATTATCTCTCCTTGCATATGTACATGTGAGACTCAACTAAAACGTGTTCATTCTAGGATTAAATATCTCAAACCCTAAGTAAAGATCAAGCCTAATTACGGATAACAAGACGTGGGTTAACCTTACAAACTCCCCAAGAACCCAAGTCTTGGAGTATGTAGTTTCTATAATATATTGTAACCAAATTTAGTTACTTAGAACTAAAGTAGAGGTTACTTAAAAAAATTTATATTTACTTTAACGCACACTAGTCATAGTTGTCACGTCAACAATCTGCGTGTTTGGTATGTAGAGCGTAAGTGTGTTAGTTGAGAGCGTCGCGTTAACAATCTGTGTGCTTGTTAGCGTTATCCACCACGTCATTTATCCACTTTGAATAGAATGAATGATGGGGATAAGATTTCGTCTTCTTGTATTTGTTGATAAGAGCTATATAAGGTCGAGTACAACCATTATTGTTATCTCTCATCTCCAAAGTTTATGTTTACATCTTTGACTGAGCTTTTCTCTAAACTCTAATATTACATCTATATATAGTTTTATTGAAAAGTTTTAGAAAGTAAGGTTAAATCATAGTTTTACTCTTATGAACAAGCGTTAACTAGAACTAAGCCGTAGCCTGATAAAATGGTATCTGCTATCAATGTGCTTCATGCTACTATTTATCATTTGATTCTTAGCAAGGTGAAGTGCACTGTGATTATCACGATGAAGATTGACATCCTGCTATGGCAATCTCATCTCAATGATAAGCTTATTCAAACAAATTGTTTTCATTGTTCTCTTTGTTGCTGCAACATATTTAGTTTATGTGGATCACAAAGAAATGCACTTTTGAAGAGTTGATCTCCAACTAATGCAGCCACCTTTGAGAATGAAAACATCCCCATTTGTTGATTTTCTTTTGTCCAAATCTTGCCCATGATCATCATCCACATATTTCAAAAATGACTTGGCATGTATTGCATTGGCATCAAACAATAAACCATGTTATGTAGATTACTTAAGATATCTAAATATCCATTTCATTGCTTATCAATGCACTTTTCCTGAATTTGACATATAACTACTCACTTTACCTACAACGAATGCTATATCTAGTCGTATGCATATCATCAAAAACATTAAACTATTCACTTTACTCTCATAAGGGATAGAAGACATCAAGATTATCTCAACAGCATCTGTAGGATATTGCGCTACTGAAAGACAAAAATGAACGACCAATAGAGTATTCACAGGTTTAGTTTGCGCCATGTTGAACTTGGCAAGCATCTTCACTTTATACTTCTTTTGTGATGACCAAAGTTTCCTTGACTTCTGATACCTAGATACTTTCATGTTAAAAATTTAGCTTAACTCAGCCTTTAATTATCAACATGGTATGTTCTGGAAGCCGCAATAAACATGTCATCAACATACAAGACAAGAATGATAAGTACAAATGCCATATCAAAAAATTTCTGAAAGTAAACACAAGTATTGTATACACTTTGTAATAATCTTTATGAGTGCGTGAAGTTGTTGAAGTGTTTATTTCACTGTTTGAAACTTTTCTTTAAACCGTATAACAATTTAAAAAATCTACATATCATGTTTTCTTTTCTTTTCATGAAAAAACCTTTGTAGTTTTTGCATGAATATCATCTCATTGAATAGTCCAAAGAAAAACTTGTGAAAACATCCATATGATCAAATAGAATCACAAGGTCACATAATAGACGTATTGTAGAATATTTTGCTATCGGTGCAAATTCACACTTTTGCATTGTGTGAATCCTTTTGCTACCAACCTAGCCTTCAAAAAATTTCATCTGTATTTGTGGATCCATCTTTCTTCTTATAGACCCACTTGTAGTCTACCAATGTTTTACCTTGAAGCAACTCAACAAGTTACCAAGTGTTGTTGGTATGAAGTAACTTCGACTCCTTCTGCATCATTGCACTTCAGTTTTGCTTCTCACTAGAAGCTAGAGATTTGAAAAAAAAAGATGGATGTCCATCTTCAATGATGAAAGCGTCACCTGAATTATCAACATCAACTTCAATATCATCAATGACTGAAGAGTCAAACCAAGTGTTATACCTAATCGAAGATTGACGTTGAGCTGCATTCCGCAACTTTTGCATTGATGAAGATTCTGATTGATCAATTTGTGCTAGTTCTATACGTGGCTCACCAACAACCAACTCCTCTTTTTTCACGACAAGTGGAATCTCTCCTTGTGGCCCATCATAAAGATTGTTAATATCAATCTTCCACTCAACAATATCACGGGTAAGATTATTATTCTTGATAGTAGCGGAATTCTTCATTTCCTCCCCTCATTCAATGATATGGGCTCAATAAATGAAACATACCTATCAATAATGATTTTGCAAGCATTGACATCCCAGAACCTATATCCCTTTACTACTTTTTAATAACCATGAAAGATATAATTCTTGGCTTTAGTATCAAGCTTAATCCTATTATGCTTTTGAGTAAAAGCATAAACATCACAACAAAAAAACTTAAAACATAGAGTGATCATCTTACCGTTTATATCACAATTGACACTGTGTTTTGAACTTGATTTAGCTATTAGGACACAGATTTATCAAGTAAATTGTGGTGTTCACAACCTCGGCTCAAAACGTATATGATAAATCAACAAGACTCAACATACTTTGAAACGTTCCAATAGTGTGCAATTAAGTCTCTCAAACACACCATTTTGCTTTGGAGTATACAGTCTGATGAGATGGTGAATAAACTACTTACTTTTGCAATACAATTGAATTTTTGTTGAGTTGTTCTTTTGAGAATTATCTGTGCACAAATATTTTAACTTCGATCTAGTCTTGTTTTCCACTATGGACTTTTACCTTTGGAAAATCTCAAAGATCTCAGATTTTTGTTGCATGAAGAAAATCCACAGAAATTTTTAAAAGTTATACACAAAGATTACGTAGTTTACCTTTCCAAAGTGTGAGAGACAAACAAAGGGCATCATCAGAATCCTCAATTACAGCCATACTTGCAGAGGGTTCAACATTTGCCTTATGATCTTACAATCTGTGTGAATATGATCAAATTTGCCACATTTTTAGCACTTGATGTTATTATCATCTTTATACTTGGACCTAGACCTAGAACTTTTTGTTAACTTTTTTCCTAATAAGTGTCCTACCAAGAGAGAATGTCAAAGCAGTATGCAAAGACACCAATAGCTTCATGTTGGTGTCTGTGCATCCCTCTTCTGGCCAATCCCCTTCATCATCCGAACTGATGAGATGCAAAATATAAGACTTTAATATTTACAAAATATTTAAGCCTAAGTGTTAGAGTTTTTCCATGCTATTTTTGGTTATTTAAAAAATTCTTAATTTTCCAAGAATTATATAATTTTGTCTTTAGAGTAATCAATTTCATAACAAACTATGTTCCGTTCAGCGTTGTGGTTAAGTGTCAAATGTATTGTACGCACAATACTTGGACAAAACGCTAATTTGCTTAATAACATGAGCCTGATCTGATGTAAGAAAAAATGCGGAAAGTTAAGACTCTCTTTTTTACAATTTTTTTAAACTCATTTTTTGATGTTCATAAAATTATCACTCAAGTTTTTACTGTATTATAGTTATTCTGACTTTTGAAGTGACATGGAATAATTTGAAAATTTTAGATATTTTCATGCATTGCACTTTTCTGTGGACATGTGGAATTCCACATGTCTGAATGCAAAGTGCTGAATTATAATTGAGGAAATTTGTTAACATATTCATCATAAGAAATAAAATCCACTGATGCAGCTAAATTAATGAAAATGTCCGGTATACCTTTTGTCACACATTTTTCGTAGGAAATGTAATGCTTACAAAATGGTTCACATATAGTAGAAGGTGTGTCCAAAGTCTCAACCTCTAAATCCCTTAAAGAAATTACTCATGTGAAAAAGACGAACAAATCTCATGGATATTTCATATTATATATGGAGCAACAATAAGTTCGACTTAAAGACAAATACAATCTTCGGATCATTGTCAATAACTTTTCGTTCAAAAATTACTTGATGCCATTATTCATCATCTCTTTTTTTAAAGGTCTAATTTTAGACAGCTTGCAGCATTCAAAAGTTTGTATTTGCATTGATAAAAACCACCACATCAGTGATGATTATTTTCACGATAAACGTTTTGTTGCTAATGCTTGACTGCGGATACAAACATCTAGATGTACGACCTGCTTTATAGCAAGAAGTTAGGCTAATTTCATATGAAACCGATGATAAAGCAGTGAAATTGCACTCAAGGTTGAAGTATATACTATTCACAAGTTACACGTAAGCGCTGGCAAGAATCAAGGATTCACTATTCTTCAAATCTCTGAGTGATAAGAATAAGTCCGAACGAATCAGCTAGAAAATATGAGTTTCAAAAAAAGCTCATAAGTAACACATATTTGTATCTGGTATCTTAATGAATGAAGTTGGAATAACGATGCCAAAATTGTACAGTTTGGGGTGGTCCAGGTACATAGACATGAGCGTGAATTTTCTGGCACCATGATGATCTGAGGCATTCTGGAATGTGGACTGAGTCGGCCATGGCAGGCAGATCATGCAAGTTTGTGTAAAGCACCCGTTACAGAGTCCACATGCCGTTGACATGCATAACATCTGCAGTAGCTAGCGAGCCTCGGTCTAAGGAAGGTTCATGCGCAGCGTGAGCACTATCTCTCGATTCACTTCACGTAATTTCAGCGCCATTACTAAAAAGTTTGAGTTTTTTCGATGATTGCCCAAATCGTAGGTCAGGCTGATACAGTTATAGGTACTGCTCAGCGAGCTCGTGGCAGCATCTTGCCGTTCCCTATACGAACTCGACTACGATCAAAGGCCCAATTTTGTCCAGGCACTTGTCCTCACAGCAAAATACCTATTCAGAGCCCAGTCTTCGATCGTTGTTCATACACTAGATATAACAAAGTTTTTGTTCTCAGCTTGACCTGGCTCTCATTCTCTCTTTCTCAATTATTGCAGCCTGCTCGAGCTACTTCATCGCCAGAACCCGCCGTCACTGGAACATCCCAGCTTCAACCTTCGATTGAAGACTCCTCTTTCTTCTTATTGGAGATCATTATGATCTGTAAAGGAGCGGACAAGTCCACAAGCCTTTTGTTTCATGGGAGACAGGATCACAGACCGGAGTCAAGGGGGCACGTACAAACAAGCTGTAGCGCCACAATAGCACGAATGTCAATGCATGTCAAGGTCGTCAGTGACGTCATCCAGACGTCAAGATCGTTAATCAGAATGTTCTGGATGAGGAACAGCTGTTGGGGAGAGTTGGTCATAAAGCTCGTGTTGAGTCCGATATTTAATCCTAAAAGAGAGAAAACCGCGTATCGATCTATATCTAGAATATGTAACAAGCGGTGGAGTTTTCCCACAAGTCAAGATCTAGTAAAGAGAAGGAAACGAACCATGGCAAAAGTGATCTTGATTGATTATCCAGTGCCAAATTCCTCAAGGACACCAGCTTGCAACAAAAGTAATGGGCTCTGAACAGTCCCGGTTGAGCCCGCCAGTGCTCACTGACAATACTCACATGTCTAAAGATCCTGTCAGGTGTCACTTAATATAACAGGTTCATTCTTGTTCGTCCTGGCTGGGTTTACCTTGAACTGGAAAGCTGGTAAGGAAGTGCCACGATCGGTTCAGAACTCCTTCCTTGTGTACAAGAGGGGAAAATGAATTTGGGGTTCGAGCTGATTTAGATCCCGGTTTGGGCCCATATGCAGTGTATCGGCATACATGATAGTTGTGATGACTGCGCACTTCATCCTCCGTGATACACGTGAACGTGAGGCTAAAATGATTCAGATCTCATGAAGTCGCAGACACCCTTGACAAGTCCAGTGGAATGCGGAGCGGATGAACGAATGTCGTGAAGGCACAGTGCTCATGGAGGCTCCATCGTTCTGTCCAAGTGCTGTGGGTCTGATACGTATCATGGAGGGACGACGATTGTTCCGTGCTCGCCTGCCAGAGACGCCCGTAACGCGAATCTTGGCGTTTGGCCGATGACCTATTCTTCACAGTTCCTGCGCATCTGACCTCAGAATTACTTTAAAACGACCCAGAACGACTTTGAGTCATCGGATTCCATCATGAGTTTCTAAGTGCGAAAGGATGTCCAAGGGGGCGGTGAAATTTACGGAAAAGATTGGATCTCAGTGCTCAAGAGTCATGGCATATCAATTCTTTCAGGACGGACGCTTTGAATGCCTTCTCCTTGGGAAAAGATTCGCGTCCTTGCTGTTGCGATGATGGTGGCTGCACTCAAAGTGGATGTGGAACCCGAGGGAAATCTTATGCTGTACTCCAGGCTAATATTTGAATGGTTGAAGCCTCCTCCAGATAGCCATAAGCGTGCATGAACGGATCTGTAGGAAGAAACTTACGTTCTACGACAAAAATCTTTTGTTTTCCACTTCTTGTCAATTTCAATTCAACTTTTGGTTACCCTCCAATGAAATTTGAAACGATTGCAAGTCTTCATGGGGATTCAGTTACTTTTACATTCAATAAAATATTGACGGGACTTCTAATATATATCTAAAGAAATGAAAGTCAAAATACCACTTAATCTCAGAAGCATCGAAAGGTGGAGCACATGCAAACGATTACAAATGATTGTAGGTATATCGTGATAGATACATCGTGGAGCGCTCTGGCTGACTCTTGCAAAACGTTGTCATTGACCTTGAATTGAACAGGAGGACGACATAAAAAGAAATTGTCAACGTGTATCAACAGCGTCACGAATCGTATTGTTCTTGTATGGATGACATTGTCCACACCCACAATATATCGACGACATGAAACTTTCCCTCTTTCATGTTCCTGATATGCGATGCAGAACTTGTTAGCATGACGACCTTGTTCAGGCGATCTTTCTAATTGCTGATCAAAGTCTCTTTCTTCTGCACAAGCTGCTGAAGCAGCAGAACAGCTTTTAGACTTCGAACGACTGCTTTTGTATCTCATATCTGATGCCAGTCATCTGTGAAAGGGTTCTGCAGAATTTGCAATAGGTTTCGAATTTGTTGCATACTATTTGAGAACCGTCTTTGTTTCTATCTATGGCATCATAATTCCATAGTTATCGCAATGTACTATTGCACGTGAATTATCGTGAAGCGTCTGGTATGGTACCAGTCTCTTGAGTAGACTCTAAGTTAGCTTACTTCTTACCTACATTAGATTATGTCTTGCTAATATTTTTTATGGTGAAATCAATATCTCCGGAAAACAACGAATGAGTTCATAGCTCGACATTCATAGATCGATTTTTTCATGGTTAGGACACAATCAAAGATCAAAGATTCATATCCAAGACAGAACTTTTACACATCTGGAAATTTCGGCTCTGTCCATATATACTATGAGTGATCTCCTGTGCTATGTTCTCCAAAACATGTTCCATCTGACACGACTTCGTCATGAAGTTTAAATGGGGAAAAACCTGTAAGTAAGAGTGTGAACCTGAAGAAGTTAAAGGTCAGTTTCACATTATATGTTTGAATTATGTTTCAAATTTGTTTGAATTAATGAACTTCAGTGACACGAGCTTTGAATTTCATGCAACTTGAACTTCACTACATTTGAACTTTGTTGTAGCAACATTTTTTTAAACAGCAAAATACCTTTCACTAGGTAGGATGGAACAGAAGCAAATTTGCAGCGAAAGTGCTGAGATGTAGAATACAAGGAGGAACAAACCGCAGGCTGTTCAAGAAAATAACAGACATGACATCGAGGAAAAAGTTGGGCAAGAGTGCTTGTTTCGAGGATTGTCCAACAAGCATATGATTGGCCGGTTCTCAATGTTCAATAGTGGCGAATCTAAACTCTGAGTATGTGACATGAGATTTATGACAGAGATGGACATCGCTGAACGAGAGGGTAGCTATAACAACAGTTTGTGACACAACTTCTAACAACAATATTGTGTAATATAATCTTGTGTTATTTTGAGGCCAAACTTCTGTATACATAGAAAATTTTTACATTATCATCTTCCTTGATTGTACATCTGTGCAAAGCCGTAAAGCACTGAGGTTTAGCGATGATATCTTCTATCAATATCCAAATTTCTTCTCAACTTACAACTGTACAATATCCTACAACGAGAACCAAGTCCAAATCTAGTGGCCCTGGCCCTGGCCCTAAATATGTTGAGCTGAACAAAACATTGGCTCAAATTTTAAAATCCTATTGTTCTGTTTGGCCTGAAGCTAACAGTAGACACCTTCTGATAAAGATCAGTAAAGACGCATGTTAGCTTTCCCTGGCCTACAAAGATATCTTGTATGTGGATGGTCTCTCCTTACCACTTCACTTTCTCTCCTTTCATGCGTATAAGAAAGACGATTCCAAACATAGTACGGAGAGCCCTATTGGGAGGTCAACCGCCCGACTTTCGCAGCTCTCGGTGGAGAAGGAAATCCTCATTTTGCATCTTGCTCTTGGAACTCTAATATGTCGATATTCAATGACTGATCACGGTAGAACGGCCTTGACCTCCTGAACCCATGATCACTGGTTGCAAAAATAATTAAAAGCGTAGACAGCAGCAGCTGTAGCTTCATTTTACGGTATGCCGAAGGCACCTGAAAGCTTCAGATGCACGTTATGTACAAGTCTTGGAGTGACAGAGACTCCTGAGCACTCGTGACCAATCTGCAATTTACTCAGTTCGAAGTGCTGGACTTCCAGCAAGTTGATTTGATCATGACTTCACATTCGATGCAGCAGATCGATCGTCAACGTTACCAACCACTCTGAGCAAAGATTCTGGATCTCATTAGCTTCTCGAATTCGGAGAAGGTGATGAGGCCGTCACCATCGGAGTCCACGCATGTGACCATAGCAGAACATTCATAGAGAGTTGCCTTACTCTTCCCCAACCTTCGCATCACCTTGTGCATATCAGAGGCCGAAATCAGACCGTCTCGATCCGAGTCACACACTTTGAAGGTTAGTCTTATGTCCTCTGCACGAGTTGCAGGGTCGACCACATCCGGATGCGGCAGCTGCTGGCTGTGAAACGCAACAAATTCCTGCAGATCAATGACTCCATCCCCATTCAAATCCGCTTCCTCAATCATTAACCGAAGCTCCTGATCTGAAATTCTCTTCCCGAGTCTCTTCCACATAAGACGCAGCTCCTGCTCCGTGATCTTTCCATTCCCATCCGTGTCGATGATTTTAAAAGCCTCCACGAGATCCTGATGTTCGAGCTCGAACAGTTGAGCAATAACCGGACGCTTCTGGTCAGCCGAAGACAGCTCCGATGGCTGACTAGAGAGATGTGGAGAACTCTTCGACGAAGTCGAAGGAGGCTTCACAGGGCGAGTTGAAGGATCTGCGGATAAGTACAGCGCGAAGGGGTTGGCATTCTTGGGAGAAGATGGCCTTCTGTTCTTTGAGAACAACTTCGACAGTTTCATGACGGTTGCAACAATCTGTGCCTCTGCCGCAAACCAGCCGCTGCTCGGCAAGGCTTTGATTGGAAGCAGACACTGCTGTTTCAGATGGAACGACAATGTTGTGCACTGTTGCCGTGAATAATGTCTGCGAGTCGGCCAGTAACGCGGGTCCTGTTGGCTCTCGAGCTAATGCACGACTACTGTCGGCGCTCAATCTCTCCTTCTGTCGGAACACTGCCAGCATTTATACACAACCTGCCGCTCGGATCTCGGATCGGGAAAATCATTTATTTGCTCCCTTGTGACCGAATCTGGAGCAGAGGTTCATTGAGCCTCTTAAAAGTAGCGGAGTTTGGGGTCCACCACAGCGAAACGGGAAAGACAGACTTCTTCTTCCTTTGGAGAAGAAGAAAGGGTCTGCCTTTCATGGCCGGGTTTAACGGACTCTGACCAACTCAGTTGACTAGTTCCCTCGGAACGATCAATCCTCTGTGTACACTTCCAAAGCAAACGGGACAATGTTCTCAGTACTTCACGTTCAGAGAACCGGCACGTGTGAATACTTTACAAAATATTAGGCAACCTCCTCAGATCTAGAGGTTATGTCTTCTGGCGTTGAAGGCCAGCTGCTTTCGGGACCAGGTTGACTGCCATAGATAGCAGTGGGAAGAAAGCGAGAGAGAGGATGTGATTGCACCTTCTCCTCGTACAAAAGAGATGGACTAGTTGGACTGGTAGCTCAAGTGGCTGAATGGGATTCTGTGGCCAAGCTTCTCTTGGATGGACGTACAGCTCATGAGAAGAAGAGAATGAATGAATGCAATTTAAAGCTCACGAAAATCTTCAAGGACCCACGGGATCCAAACCGAACCTTTGATGCTATATCACGCTTGGAGAATTTTCTGACCGGGCAATCACAAATCCAATGTTAAGCCTCGAACTCATGTGTGTCTTCGAGAGAATGAGTGGTGCAAGTAACACAACCATGATGGCGAGTCAATTGATTTCCGCATAAACCAGTTGGATCTTCTCACAGTTGGCAATGCTTGAGATAACCTCCAAATAGCCTCACCGTCCGTTCCAGCGGACATGCACATTTTGCATCTGCTGAATCTCCGTTCCGGTTGAAAGGAATCGGCACTGGCAGCTGAACGGGTTACAGAAAGTAGAAAGCAAAACATTTGGGATACCCAAAGAATCCCAAAGAATCCATACCAGGATGAAAATTTACGGGTAACGTGTGACTTGGCCGCAATTCATCCGTCCATTGATATTGGATGAGGTTTACTTGCTGTTTACTTATACGTGAAATCCAAGCTTCCTCGAGTAGTGACTGCCAGATATTCTAACAGTTTTATCAGTTTCAGATCAGTTGCCTGCAAGAATGATCTTGTTCCAATTATGATGCCCTTCCCGAGTGCGAGATTCATATACACTCATATGAAGTCAAAGAATGACATATGAGTCATTGACTTGAAGGGGGCATTTGTCATGTTTTCTCTTTATGATCACTCAAAGTGTAGCACATACTCATGAGACTTTTTCTTATATATGTGCAGGGATATTCCATTCAATATATGCTCATGACATATAAAGCACATATGTCTCATGAGTAGATGATACGTTGAAAAGATGTAATGCGGACCCTCAGTCCAAGCCCTCAGGATTCATCCGTGCTAATGTACTGCATCAGCGGGTGCTCAGTCTGCTGGGATAAGGCATACGCACTCCAGCAATTCCATCAGGATAAGCTTGATTGCTACTCATGATTACTCATGCTACTCATTGATTTTATGGTTCTCATGATTACGGGGTCCGGACGGAGCAAACGCGGGTCCTGTAGGTTTTAGGTGAAGTCTAGGCATGAATGTGTAAATGATAACGTACCAAAAGATCATCTGACTCCAGCTCTGAGTGGTCCGCAGATAATTCTTCTCACTGCCCACGTCTGCATCTCAGCTGCACCTAGATTTCTGATAGAGATTTGCGTATAGGTCAACGACAAAATGGTGAAGCATTATGGCATATGAAGATGGGAGCTCTGGCAGCGCTCCAGCTGCGGAAAAACAGATCCGTGTCCCGATTTGATATTTTAGGCGACTGTAACTCAATCGCAGACACAGACACCTCTCAGGCAAAGGTCGGCATACTGGATGAAGGTTGACTGATCTTCTTGAGGGTGTGCTGTGTTTGGAGATACGTGTTTGCGGTCCTTGCATCTGAAGTATAAGCCGATACGTTTCTTTATTTCTGGTTGACACGGGAGAGACAGGAGTGGCGAGTGGCCGATAATGAGTACAGTACCTGTCACGCAAAAGACTTAGAGTTGACATATGTGAGTGGAGGGTGTTTAAGCAACTTAGTCAAAACCTGCTCTTGATCCAGTGTACACAATCCAAATGGCGTTCTCAGGCAGATTAAGGACATGATAGCCTGATTCAAGGCTTTTGAACCTCCATCGTTTATGGCAAGAGACTCGCTAAAGACCATCAAACAACTGAGACAAAGTTCAAATGTCTATGGTTTCTGGGTTTTCCAGATCAGTGGTTTTTTGGGATGATGTTCGATAGTCAAGTCGCAGCCTTCCTGCAGAGGGAGGCTGGTTCAACTAATTTCAGAAAGATCTATTTCAACTAACGCGCGTTAGTTGAAATACCGATCTCCAGATAGGTCCGACTCTGAGCGGCATCATCCATGAGCATCTGCACCCAAGCTAACGCTCAAATTTGCACTGGTCAAGTAGCTCTATTTGATCTGGACCTCCCTGAACCACTGCTGGTGTATGATTTGAAGCTCTCGATCTTTCCTGTCTCCTTCAAATATCGCTAATTGATTTAGAGCGCATGCATATCGTAAAGTAGTTAGATTGTACCTTTCTCTTAGTACAGAGGGCTTCATATTTAACTCTGACCTCTTGCATGATCAGATGAGGTCCAGATCTCAACATTTACTGAGTCAAATCTGAACTGAGTGAGGTCTGATCTCGTGTAGGGTTGACGTCAAGATGACGATTTGTTTTAGACTGGGACAAATCATATAATTGTCCAATAGATTAGTTGCAGATACCAAGTTCATGAGAAAAAGCGGCCCTTACAATATCGAGTTTTCTTCTATATGAAAAATACGGATATAGCTTCAGCAGTTTGATATCATTGAAAGTGAGATAAATTTAGCAGCGTGTCCTTTCTGAGAGATCACTCGAAAAAGAATGCTCATGATTCTGTAGCTGGTACATAAGTTTTAGTGAAATATGAGTAGCAATTATGTAAGACTTAGGTAGCTATAGGACCGAACCGCTGAACCGTTATATAATAAGTTAAGATTCTTTCAGATGCGGTGCTTTGGAATTTTCCATCCGAACTCTAGCAAAGATAAACAATGGGCCAAGAAAAAACGATAAGAGCATCGGAATTTGTGACTTTTCTCTTTTCAAAAGTTAAGTATAGGTTCTCAATATAGGTGACACCAAAGGTAGAATATCAGAAAAAGTGAAAAAGGTGTATTACTCTTACCTTCATGTGAGGTTTTGTCAATCTTGAAATGGAAAATGTAAAATCTTACACTTGTACCAAGCGAGCAACACTCGTGCAAACTCCTAGGGGCTCCAGTAAGGACTTTCTATTATACAAGGTATGCTTTGGGAATGCTGTATAATACAGTGGTATAATACCACAATTATATTTACACACCGATAGCCATAAGTCACCCTGGTATCCAGAGAAGGTATGAGATCTGGCATGGCGGCGAGGTGGAAAGCTCAGAACAATCTGTAGCTACTCATGTTCAGTCCAGTTCCTCAAATAGCCCTAGTTTTGATTGAAGAAATCGCCATTCATGATACAAAAGTCTGTTATTAATGCCTGAATTTGAAAGTGATGACTGTCAAATATTTCCAAGGTCGACCGACCAGTATGAAAGCCTGTGATCTTCTGAGTTAGAAGTGACAACAGATCGAGAACGTTTGCTCTGCATCACATCACTCCTTCGGATATACGCTTCGGCAAAACAACCACAGCAGTAATGAGAGTGTTGAGTGGAGAGCTCGGGCTAAGTATGGGAGAGCATGATCAGAGAATTCCGAGGAATTTGCATTTATAATTTTTATGATGCGCTGCAAAACGTTCGCAATAAGATATTTGTCATATCAGTCCAACATCCATGGATGAATAGGAAATCAATCTTTACTTCATATTTGTAAGAACATCTTCTGCAGACCTTCAGTCTGCTGGTTTCAGCAGTGTATATGCTGACAAGTTGAAACTATTCGAAATCAATTGTTCGAAACGCTCGCTTGCTTGAAATTCAAGCGGCCTCATCTAGTAAGAAGTAGCTAAATCTGTGGTCTGGATTTCTCGGACCGAATGCGCTGCGATTGAATTATCTGCTCGAGGTATAACCAACGGCTGTTGGAAACCCGTATTTGCTTCCTATGTGATCCAGAGGATGGGACTCGGTGTGCAGCAGATGTCAACGATAGCTCAATAATCCACGGAAGACTGGTGTAAATTCTGCGCCATGGAACTTGTCTTCTTGACAGATAGACCTCAGCAGATCAATTAAATTCTTCCAGACTCCATCTCTCGGAGTGATCTTCAACGCCTGTCAGTATCATCCACTCTTTCATCTGTGCCCCTTTAAATGGCTGACTTCTGTAGACAGGTCTTAAAACTTTCAGGCTCCATGAGGTACATACTTTCTCGATGTGTGAGTCTGTTACAATGTCGGCGGGTTCATCCCAAGTTGTTGAGCTCCAAGTGGACTACGCGCGGCGCGGCTACGTCTGTGACAGGAACTCTGAACCTGCTCGCTTCCTCGGGTCTTGCTGGTCTTAGACAGGTCCACTGACGTTGAGGTTAGGCAGCCTGAAATACACTAATTTCAGGCCTGCCATACGGCCGGACACGCTGCATCCAGCAAATGGAGTAGCTTGCTTGTGATTTTGAAGGTGCGAGGACGCATGTTCTTCACGTGTGTTGTACTCAGAATTTTCTTGAAAAGATGGCGGAGGTCATCAAGATCTCAAATTCCCGAAAGTCGATCAAGTTGTCACCGTCGGAATCCACGCATTGGAGCATCACAGAACACTCGGCGATGGTGACCTTCTTCTTCCCAAGACGTTTCATCAACTTCTGCAGATCAGGAGCTGAAATATGGCCGTCCCGGTCTGCATCCGCTATGCTGAATGCTATTCTTAGCTCTGCAGATCGTTGTTCGACATCA